AAAAATGGCCACGGACCACGTGTCAGGGCAGAAAAATGACCGTACCCTGAGGCGGAGTTTGCACATCGAGGTAAATTTTTGTGGTTGTAACCCGAAAAGTTCGTTAGTAGAGGCATTCGTATCCCGAGGTACCACTGTATATGGAAGCAACCCCGAACAATATCTCACATTCCATCAACAATTATTTAACTCCTTACATAGTGTTGATAGTGTCCTGGATGATTTGAATCCAGCTGTTACGCTCCTCCTTAGAGCTGGCATGGACTTCCACCATCTCAGGGTCTTTTCCTCCCATGCTAATTAGGAACAAGCCCTTCTCCTCATGGGCCACTTCTCGGACAATCAGCTTCTTCAGTGAGATTACGGTGGATTTTTGATCCTTTTTTTGAGTAGGGGAAGAGAAGCATATGCGTTAGGTTGATTGGTGCAACCGGAAGCTCCAAACATACAACCAAACCCACAACATGGTCACCCCTATGCCACAATGATGCTGGAACAATAGTAAAGGCACATCTAAACTGGATCCCTAATTCAACTTGTCTCATCAGTGATATCAGCGGAAACCTGAGACGAGATCTTTTACAGCCTGTTGCTCCCACTGCAACAGGATAAAAACCCAAGCAGACAAAGGGACCATTTGATGTGTTTGTCCCCTTCCTTACTATTTTAACTGATATCTTGGTATATACCTTCTTTATGTAAACCTTTCAGTAATAATCTTCCCTTGGCAGCTACACTAAAGACTGAATCACTCCTGAAACAGCTTTGTAACTTCCCACTAAGTAGGAGACAAGGAGCTTATCTACCTTTCAAATGGTCTGCTAAATTTGTTGGTCTCTCCACAGCTTGATCTTTACATACAAAAGCCCTTCTGTCAGAGTAGATTTGTTTAGACAGCTCTATTCCTCTGTTAGTTGCCAGTTGTAAATGTATATACAAGGCATACATTTATATTGGGAAAATAAAATTCTTTGTGACTTAAGGTAATGTCTTTCAAAAAATAAAGGAAAAGAGGCTTGAGAAGAAAGAAGAAGGGCAAAAACATTACTGAATCATTTTCTTCTTCTACTACTGCCACTATACATATTTGCTTATTGTATTTTTAGTTCACTTTTCTCCTAAGGAGCTTAAGATGATGCACAAATATGTCATATTAGTCTTACAAAAACCCTGGAAAATGTTAGGCTCAGAAGTAGGAAATGTGAGGTTCAGGTCTTCTCAGTCTAACACTTCTGGGAAGACTTTATGCAATGCCATTTTGCATACTCGCTCACCTAGGCACTTTATAGGCACTTCCATTAACACTAGCACTTTTATACCTATTCGGTTTAGAGAGCCATGTTACAAAATTCTGAAATGTTGAAACATAGCAGGATAACTACGTTCTGGTTTGCTTATTGACTTAGAGAGGATTTGAGTCCAAACAGACGTAAAACCTGCATCATACAAAATAGATGTGGATTTTTTTTTTTTAATCAAAGGTCTGTTGACATTTGCATTTTATGGTGCTCTGCTGTTTTAACAGTTTATTTATTGTCTCCGTATAATTATTGGCATGACTCTGAATAATTAAAGCAATAAAGCCAAGTCATTAAAAGTTCTAAGAAAATTCTACTTTGGACATGGTAATTTATTTTTCTATATATTGGCTAGGTTTACACAAAATGTTTAGCTAAGTCAAAGATACAGCAGTTGCATGCAAGCAACAGACTAAGTTTGGTTAGTGTTACTTGGGTGTGTGTGTATGTTTGTATTCACGTATTATGTAAGCTGTCATGCGTTCTTTTTTAATTGGTACCCAATTGGATTGACCTAGACTCAAGAGAGACACAAAAGAACTAGACCCTGGACAGGTGGTTCCTTTATATCTCCCCATAAGAGCTGGGGAGATGTTTTATTTTGTAAAAACAAACATATAAAAGTGATATATGAATGCTTCCTATATTCTGTTCTATTGCTATCTCTCTACTATTACTATGATAATTACTATTAATTATCATAGTAATTACTATGATACAAATTACTATGCTATTATTATCCACTTACTATTACTATGTCAATGTTTATACTATACTCGGTACTATTACTATACTCTATTATCTATTACTCTATTTCCTATTACAATTACCTGTATACTATGCTCTGTACTATTAGTGGTATGTATCAACATTTCTTTCTTAAGCCTGTTCTGCCTTAAGTCCCCCCTCCCTGAGATTTCTTCTTTTTCTGTTAATGGCCAACATATAGAGCTCTTGAATCTGTTTTACATTGTACTTTGTCTTGCTGGGCCTCTATACTTCTCTTCCTCTCTTTTGGACCATCCCTTTCTTCTGTACAAAAAACACCTTCTTTCATTTGGCTGGTGTACTGTTTGTTGGTGGCTGCAGAGCTCCAAAACACACATCTCCTCCATTCTCCTCTCACACCTGTGCCAAGGCTGCAGCTTTATTGGGAACTATGCCACGCTGATGCCAGGGAGAAGGCCCAAATAAGAAGGAAAAAAGGCAGCACAAGTGCCTACGATTTTGTTCAAGCAGCCTGCTCTTCCACACAGGCCTAACCTACTTGCCCGTTTTTATGGATAGATACATTGGCCAAATCCAGAAAACAGACTGATTCAGTAACCACATGAAATGTGTTGTGCAGATGCAGCCAAAGTGTACACCAATCTTTTTTAAAATGGAAAAAAAAGTGTAGAATTCCTTACCAGGGATGCAAATACATATTTTTGATCCTTTTCCTGGAGGAATATTAGAACATCTGAGAGAAGAACAGCCAGGACCTCTGACAAGGGAAGGAACATCAAGACATCAGGTTGTAAAACCAGCCAACCAAACCCTGACATATCTGCATTTATCAGTATTGCTGACAACATCTCATATTTCATTTCCTGAAAATTGTACCCAGTCGTAGGTGAAATTTCATAGAAGCCACCTGCTTGGTGCCTACCAATTTTCCTGTTTAGCTTTTGATCCCATTAATTTTCAGCTCTTGGTTCAGACCAAAGAGGAGTTTGTCTGAGAGAAATTCAGGAGGCTCCTGCAAAACTTTTTCCCCCCCAGCCCTCCAGGCAAAATGCAGTTGAACTACTTTCCCCCAGCGTGCAAAGTGTACCACTTTACTCCCTCCACCCCCGCAACTAAGATTTTATTTGAGATAGACGATTTCTCAGAAGCCGTGTCATTTGTATGTGGCAAGAAGAATTTGCAGCCAGTTTTTACAGCCTAGAAAGCAACCCTGTTTAGATGCTGCACCGAGCAGATAGGGAGCGGACTTCATAGTGCTTAGTGTGTCCTTTCCAATGAATCGGGGCAAAAAAGCAGTGCTGAGTCACTGTGGGATCGCACTAAAAGCTCCTCTTACCTTTCAATCTCCCAGCCACGTTTTTGAGAGAAACAGGCCCATCCCGGACAAACTTCCTGCGCCTCAGATCTTCTCTGGCAAACATCTGCCCACTCTTCATTCTCATGATTGACTTGTTGTCCGTCCGGGTGTAGATCTCGTTAAGGCGCATCTTCTTCTCATAGTTGCTAACTTTGCTATCGACTGCAGTTATGACTTCCTTTACCAGGTTTAACGAAAGCACCAAGTCTTGATGTTCAGTATCGTTTTCTTAAACAGAAGAAAACTTCATTTATGATCTTCTTTCCCTCAGATATTTAACTTCTTCAAGCTCAGCCCTGTTTTTTATCCTGTCTTTCCCTGACCAACAACTTATCCACACAGTAGCTAACTTCTAGATCACTTCCCACAGAAACATTTGCTTAGAACAGAGGGATCCAGGCCATCTAACTGACCAGCAATGTTTGCACCACCAAAATTCATTAACAAACCGATGAACAAACAGCAGCACAGTTCTGCACTCTGATTTTCTGAATTTCCAAGGTTGATGGCTGCTTACGTGGGCTGAATTTCATGCCCAACTAGCTTAATGCAGTTTTAAAAGTAAGCACATCGATTTCCACAGAAGCCCAAATTCTTTGTGTGTGCCATAATCCTTCTGGTGACATCATTACACCACTGTCTTTGGACACCAAATTATTTATATACACCCACTAAAGTGCTTGACTACAAAAAGTTACCTTTCCTGATTTAAAATACTGATGGCCAGCTGTCATTCTTGTATCCAGTAGTTGTATCTAAGCAAACATCTGTCATAGGAGGAATTAGAAAGGGGTCTAGTGAAAGACCACAAGAATATTTGGTTTGTTTTGCATGTGACCCTGAGCGCATCTGGCTCTTTGCCTACAGTAGGATAGACCTCTCTTTCTTTTGCACTTTGCATGCATGGATGTGTAGGAAAGAGACAGAAAGGATGGAATGTCACCAAAAGAGCAAACACTGCAATTCTTCCATTTGTGAACTCCAACCAAACTGTATCTCCCCAGTTGATTCATCCCATGGATCACTGGCTTTTCACAGGAAAAGGGTTTGCACCCCATTATGCATTTACTTAGTCTTTCAAACCTACAACTGAACAGGAAAACAAAACTAAAATATTTTAAAAGCACTTTCATTTTAGAAAGTCAACACTGTAAAGGACAGTTTCAGTGCTCAGAAGCTGAGCATAAAATCTAAGACGACAATCCCCGAGCAAGCAAACGTAAAGGAATACCCAAACACTTAAAACATGGTCTGTAAAATCATGATGAGCCGGATCAAATTAATGCCACTGTTCTGGGCATTCCAGATTAGAAAAAAGGTCAGTGTTTTCCAAGATGTTGGCCTTTTAATTCTAGAAAGGGAAGGCAATTAGAGGAGAAAATGTTACCGAAACACCTACCTTTGGTATATTGTAGTATTCTCTGTAGCAACACAGGGTATTTGGTAATTCTCTGTGTTACTAACAAGATGCATTCAGGAATGCCCAAGCGCCTCACCACGGAGCAACTCATTTTTTTCTAAAGAAAGGAGAACAAACTGAAATACCTAATAGGGAGTAGTATCTTATGTATTAGTCAGCTGACTACAGACCTGAAAATAGAATCCCACAGTCACCATCTGTGGCTTTGTACTGTGAATATGTCTGAGGAACACTGCAGGTCTAAGGTTCTCCAGAGAATATTTAGTAATTTCAGATACACAAGTGTGGGTCCTCCAGATGTTGTTAACTTCCATCATCCTTCACTGTTGGCAAAACAGTGGCTGGGGCTGATGGAAATTGTAGGCTAACAGCATCTAGAAGACTACATTGCCCATCGCTGATGCCAACAGAGAAATCACCAGATGGAGCAGAATTTTAGTTCAATAAAACCAGGTCAACTGTATGTGTATAACATGCAAAGCCTGGAAAATGTTAATCTTAGTTAGATTTTGTGACTTAGCACATTGTGTGAATTTAACCCACTTGATTAGTATTTTGGCCAATGTACTGCATGAACGCAGAAAAGGGTTTAATTCTGAACCCAGGTTAAGCATACTGTATTGTGCGAATGCTGCTAGGTTCTCCCATCTTTCTAAAACATCAATTTCCTATTCCTGCATCTTTTCCTCAGAGCCTTTTTCAAACAGAAAAACAGATATACCCAAATGAAACCAGAATTTTGGGAGAAGAATACATTTGTTAAATAACCTTTTGGTATCAGTGGCGTATTGTGTCCATAGTTTTCCTGAGGGGTAGGCAAAATGTTTCAAAATCAAAACACTCTGACCTCAAAACCCTGTATTTCCTGTTCCAAACTGGCTGTCCAAACCATCCCAGATGTGTTTCAGCCTCAAATAATCCAATTCCACGTTCAATAACTATTTTGAGTACAAAACATTTCTCGGATGATTACGACCACCTATTCCAAGCTCAAACATACAGTTTCAAATGCCCTCAGTCTCCTTTGTTACGACTGTATGGCTAACTGTGATGCAGTCTTGGTGAGGACACAGAAAATCCATAACCACCTTCAGTTGGCATGTTTCTAACTCATTCCTATCTTTCTATGGACACATCCACAACCCTCGCAAAACATTATGCCCCTGCCAGCTTACTTTGATGAACGCCTGAAATCTTTTCTCCTTGGAATGAAGGTCTTTGAAGTAATTCACTGCCTCATTGTGATGCCCACAGAACTTCCCGTACGTCTTCTTCATTCGCTCTGCGTTTTCCCCAGAAAACTGCAAGATGCAAGAGATCAATCAAAAACCTTCAATGGGGGGAGGAAAACCAAGCTAGCTCACTTGAGACAACACAACCAGCTACTGGGAGAGGTGAGGCAGTGGACATCTGGGGAAAGAGGTTTTTAAGTGGGATATCTCTGCAAATGCAGAGGTTTGGATATTTCATAGATGGGTTGTTTAAATTCTTCTTGAGGGCTTAACTGAACCAAATAGGCTATAAAGTTATGTGGAATGATTTCGCTGAATCTGTATTGCTCCTCTAATCAAAGGAAACCATGCTTCTGTGCGGCATCAATTCCACCTTCCACTTCTGATTTTGTTTTCGTTTGTGTCATTAAAACTATCCAAGGGGATAATGAAAAAAGATAAACGTGTCTTCAATAGTGGTCACTCTGTGGAAATATCCATGCAGTTTTCTTGGCAAAAATACAGAAGTAGGTTGCTATCAATAAAATAGGTCAGACAGTCCTCCCTTGAGATTGAATGGAAGCCAGGGAATCTGTTGTAGAGATGACTCAAGAAGATCTTCTTCCAAGCCTTTTGGCCATTTCATCATTAACATAAGCACAAAAACACCACACTTCACCCATGAGAATTTCCCCAAAATTCTCTTCTCCTTAGAAAGCATTTCCAAAGCAAATCTTCTGTCATCAAATAGATGAAAGTGAAAAAGGAGTGGCAGAGAAGAATGAAAATGAAATCTGGAACTGGTGGCCTGGTGGCTTTTCACAACTTACTTGGTTCACTAGGATGTCCCCTATCCTCTTGATGACAAAGTTCTTCTCGCTTCTGTCAGCTAGAGATTCCTTTTTTCTCTCCAGAATTCGCTGGAAGAACTGGCTGTGGATGTTTAACAGGTTGTCCAAGCAAGGAAAGATTTTCTCCACCATCTGCTGCTCATATTGCAGCTCCTGTACCATGCCTCTGCTGTAGACATCACTCATGATCTTCAAGGTCCGGACATGGTGCATCTCTGTCTGCATCAGTTCTGGAAAGAAGGAGCATGGAGGGGAGAATCAGAAATATGCATGAGGCTCTGCCAATGCATGGAAAAACATTCTTACAGCTTTTCTTGGTTTGATTTAGAGGTCAATAAAGCTTTTATAGCTGGAAACGATTCACAAAGTGCTTGAATGCCTATTTGACTGTATCTACCTCATCAGAAAACTTCGGAAGCAATTCACTGGCAATATGAACCCAAAAGAATGCAAAATAAGAACACATATGTCACACCATAGAATAAAACAGCAGAGAACAGAATAGAGAGTAGAAAAGTTGGTGTGTAAGATGCTCAAGAGTTATTTTAAGAAAGAATAATTGGGGGCAATGCCATCAAGTATCTCAGAACCCATTCATGTAAGTAAGAACTGCATTGTAAGGACTTTTGTCATTTCTATGCCTAGTGGCCTGTTCTCAAAACTAGGAAAGAGGAGAGCCAACACATTACACGGTCTGTTGAGTAAGCTACAGGGACTTAGTTCATGAATAACATTAGGCCATTAACCATGCATTGAAAACCACAATGGCTGGCTTCAAACACACATATATCCCAAATCAAGCAAACCACACTATGGTATCGCTAAAAATGCAAATATGACAAAACCACATGATTTGCCTCTGTATTGCAGAATTTAAACCAGGAGATCTCTGTTTCTTCCCTGGCACTCACCATAAATGACGTCTTGCCGCTTCACAATGTCTTTCTTCTGCTGTTTGAGAAATTTGCTGTCCACCACCTGACTCCAAGACTGAGCTTCCAGCTGTTTCAAGTCTGTTTCAAAATCTCCCATGAGCTGACCTTCATTCATGTCTGCCCCTGGGAAGAGGGAGAGATGATATGATTTCTGCACCTAGGTTTGCCTCCTGTATATGAGACTTTAGTATCAGCTGGTGACCCTGCACTTTGGTCTCTGGTGAGTCCTTTGATGATGATCCAAAGGCAAGAGCCTTGGGTGCCTCCTGGTCCCAGAATCTATCTATTCCACAAATATCTCAGAATACTAGTTTGGAGATTATTTTGATTTCCTTTAGGCCTTGCATGTAACACTTCTTGGGTTTAGAAACAAGCCAAAATAGGACTGTTCACAGGGATCTTCACTCTAGTAATGTGCTCAGAGGAGTAACCAGTGGAGTTTAGCTGCTGAGCTCAACAGAGAAAGGGAATTCTGTTTTACAGGCAACATGCAGCTGTTGATTAAAAACTCTGCAAAATATGACTTTGCACCTTGGACAAGAGTTCTCTGTCCTTTCCCTGAAGTCTGCTGCTTGTGTGAGAGAGAAAATAGGGTGTCTGAAAGAAAAAGGGGTGTTTGACAGACACCAACTTTGGACTCTGGCTCCTGACTTGCTTCAGTCCTGCTTACCACTACCTTGACTATAAAGGAATGAAGTTATCAATTGAAAAAAGGTTTCCCCCTTCTGCACTCAGAAATGTCACTCCCTTTGGGGCAATAATTTACGGAGAAGAGAGTCAAGCTGCATAGAATGCAAACTTTCTCCTGCTTTCAGTGAATGTAAAAAAGATTGCTTGCACTGAGTTGGGATCTTGTGAGAATGCTACTTAGTTTGCTATGGCTACAAACATCATGAAGTTATCACACTGTTTGGGCTGCATCCACCATAAGCATAGGAATCTCCTTTCATACACCCAAAAGAATTGGCCCAACTCCTGCGACCCTTCAGTGTTAAAACAGCAATGACAACACAACCTTTTCAAATGTAACTTAGTAATTAATGCTAAGTAATTCCACAATTACTGTGCAAATCTCCCAGAGTGAGCCATTCATGTAATTTCAGGTAATTGCGTTGTAATTAGGATGTAATTTATCTGCCTTTGTTTACTTGGGTAAATTAACAGAACATCGGAAGACTATTGGGTGAAGCTGGCAAAATCAAGCTATGGAAGCAATTTACACAAGTGTCCGGAGCTGAAGAGGAGCTCAGAGGAATTGTTCACTCGCCCTCCAAATCCCATTCTCTAAAATACCTTGGAGTTCAAGAAATTTATCAGCTTCCAAGGTAGTCCAGGTCAATGCTTAAGCATTTCATTTGCCCCAGGCTGGCAACAGTTAAAACAAAAATGTGTGTGTTCTATATTATTTCATATAGTTTTCCCTCTATCATATTAGTTTTCTGTGCCCAAGATATCCTCTTGTAGTCTTACATGCTGCAGTCCAGTCACGGGTATACTTGCTCAGTAAGAAACTAGATCTAAAAGCTCTTTTATACATAGTGTGAAATGTAGCAAATGAATCAGTTTAGAACAGTATTTCCTTCCTGGGTTATTTCTAGGTGTCTGGACTTCAGTTCCCAGAGTTCCAGACAAGGGCAATGCTGGCTGGGAAAGTTGAAGTCTATCAGGTTGGGAAACACTAGAGCTGAAGCAATATACAGCCCTTCAAACATCGCTGGACATCAACTCCAAGAAGTCCCAACCAACATGGTTATTGATGAAGGATACTAGATGTTATAGTCTGGCCCTCCAAATGGCATTGGAGAATTAGCAATCATTGGCTTCTCCCATGTTTGAGTTGTATAAGAAGAGATCTATGGTAAGCTTTTTTTGGAGTTAGCTTTCTTCATGCAGGAAATGTAGCATGTGTGAAAGTATTCTATTCTCTACTGATGTCCTTCAGCTTTTCTCCTATACTCAAATCTGTTACTTCCCAACATGGTCACTTACCTTCATCTGTTAATGACTCCATGGATTCATTCACCCGGCTGATTTTATTCAAGGAGTCCGTTGATTGGGAGAGGAACTTCCACGTATGAAGGACACTTTCATCATTTCCAACTCTGGCACGACAAGAAACCAGGAACACAGAGTAAACGACTGAGAAGCAGTGGTGTCCATAACAAGCCACATTGACATCAAAATAACACATCATGTCATAAGTGAGCAAATGACACAATTAATGCAATTTGTGCCTGATGCATTAATGATATCTGGCATAACAATGTTACCTTTTATTTATTTAAGTCAATTGATACAGCCTCCCTATCACTAATGTGACTCTGGGCAGCTAACAAAGGTTAAAAAATGCAATATAGATACAATATAAAATACATGTATTTTTTATATATGCATAAAAACACATACATGACAACACTATGATGCACATGCTGCCATTTGTCCCTCTCTTGTTCTCATGTTCAGAAGCTCAGGCTAGACTGGTGGGTTTGGAAGAGAATCATTTTTTTTGTTAAAGAGTGACACAGCTCTTTCTGTTTTGTAACTCAAAGTCATCCTTTGAAATCACACATGGGAAGATTCAGACTGACAAAAACAAGCTGATCTTTATATAAGGTATTGTAAAACTTTGAAATTCATGGTCATTAGATAAAATGAGGCTCATACATTTTAAGATTTAAAAGGAACCATACAATTCATGAAGGTTGGACTATCAATAGCTAATCGTTTTTGATAGTTATATACAAGCTCCTGAAACCCTAGCAGTATTCTTGGTGAGCAACAGGGGAAGAAAACTCTCCTGTCCACATCTGTGAACTTCTTCAGTGCATTTGATTGGCCTCTGTTACACAATCTTCAATTAGATGGATGGTTGGTTTGGTCCAACAAGGGTATTTCTATGTTGTTGCTGTTAGTGCTATTTTTATCTGTAGGATGTACTGTTTTACAGAATACAGTGGTACCTCAGGTTACGAACGCCTCTGTTAACAAACTTTTTGGGTAACGACCAGCTCCAGCCGCAAAAATTTACCTCGATTTGTGAACTCTGCCTCGGGGTACGAACAGGATACGCGGCCATTTTCCCTCCCGTGACACGGGTCCGCGGCCTTTTTTCCGCCCCTGACACGTGGTCGTAGGGAGGGGGAGTCTCCCTCCAAGCAATAGCCGCCTCCCTGTCCTCCATGCCAGAACGGATTAACGGTAATTACATTGAAC